GGCGTAGCCATGTGAGACTAAGATATTTAATCCTTATGATACCAATCATTCGAGACAAGTTCTTCTGATAACGCAAATATATTTTGAAAACGGATGATAAAGTTAAACTACTACATGCAATACTGTAATATTGCAATTGTATACGCTGTCAAATGTATGGTAAGAATAACGACTGACATTAGTGCATATCAAACATAACTTTCAAAATTTTAATAATTTGATTCAATAAATCAGAACTTTTTTATTTTGATGCCCATGCGACCGATCGATGAAACTGTCGAATTAGTCTTCGATTTCCTATTCTCGCTTTCAAAAATCGATCAGATGTTAGCTGATATTATTGGGCACATCATGAACCATTCTAATTATTATACAGAAAAATTTATTTGCAATTTCACCCAAACTTCCTTGTAAGGAACGAAAATGCTTTCATTTTATTAGTAATTTATAAATGAATTATAGGATGATTGAATGACTCATTTTCACTGTTATAATCAAAGGCAACAATTTATCAGTGACGGTCAACGGGCGCCAATGTCGGACAAATACTTTGACTTATTATGTTAAATACTTGATTTATCACTTCCACTTTGTGTGTTCATGATAATGGTATCATTTTTGTCTTTCCAGTTTGTAGTGTAGTTTATGGCGTAGTAAAATGTGAAGTTTACGAATAAAAATGCCATCAATCTTCCAACATTTACACAACTGATGATAGCATATTTGAAGTTTCTTATTCTCAGATCAATCGATATTTCGTATCTTTCAAAATTGTGTCACGATAAGATCATGGTGATGATAGAAAACAGCAAATAATTTTGCTGGAAATCTTTATTTCTCATCCGTTCCACTATCTCTGTTCATATTTTCTCAATGATTTATCATTGTTGCTTGTTAAATATATAAATGCAATAATGAAAATGTAACGATTAGAATTTCTAATGTGATTTATAAAGAAGAGATAATTGCAGTGGATACTAATAACATGAATGATAGCTTTAGATCATTCGCTTGGATAATCCACTGAAGTTGCTTAATAGCCTGGAGCAGTTCTGGGAGGTGGACAGTGGTCACAGCTACCTTTTGGTCCATCAGGACCTGCTTCTCCTTGATCGCCATTTGCACCATCTTGTCCCGGGGGACCATCCTTGCCGTTTTGACCTGGTGGGCCACGTGGTCCCTGTCGCCCAGGATTGCCATCTCGACCTGCTGGACCTTGTTCACCCGGTGGTCCCTGTGGGCCTGGTGGTCCTGGTGGCCCTGGTGGTCCGGGTACCTGAAGGATTATTGAAAATAATTTAAACTCGATATGTTCATGATTTTTTAATACTGGAAGGATAGCAAAACAAACCTCAATCTGTACACCTGGTTTTCCTGGTTCGCCAGCTGGACCTGGATTTCCTCGTGGTCCACCCGGTCCTCTTGGTCCTTGTGGTCCCATAGGACCTGGTTCACCGGGCTGTCCGCTTGAACCTTTGTCTCCTGGCAATCCTCTCTGTCCTTTCGGTCCTGTTTTGCCTCGTGGACCTGGCGGTGCTGGGGGACAGTGGAAACACCAATCTTTTTCAGTTGGCTAAAAATTTCAAATTATCTGTAAATTATAGTTTCCTATAATCTATACTATTTGAAAAAAATTTTTCAGACATTACAAAATGCAAAAAACAACCACCATAACGCAAGTCTTGAAAAGATTATAATCCGAAAGGTCAGAAGATATGAAAAAAATCGTACTTTCAAAATGACCCATTGCATTAAACGAACTTACTAGCTGGGTTTCTTGAGCATCTTGACCTGGCATACCGGGCTTACCAGGTGGGCCATCCCGACCATCATCACCGTCCTGTCCAGGTGGACCTGGTGGCCCAACAGGCCCAATACCACAACTGCAGCATTGGAACACTGGCTGCCTCTTTTGCCTTTCTTTTTTCAGTGCTGAACGCGATGATTCGAGCTAAATTTGCCAAAATTAAGAAAAATAAAAAACACTTTACCAATGAAATCGCCCAAAAATTAAATTATTTTCCTTAAATTTTATAAAAATTTAAAGTTTTATCACTATGATGGCAATTTTTAATAAATTTAAATTCATGTTTTGGAAAAAATATACTTTAGTGAATTCTCCCCGTAATCCGACAGCCCGTGTCCTGCAAAAGCTAATTTCATCTTGAAGGTTAGACTGCACATTTTGCATGTAAGTGCAAAGCATTGGCACACAAATGATTGCTACCAAAGTTGCTACGGTGGAAACAGCAACACCACAGAAGGCAAGCTTCTTCATGCTCTCAGCTTCAATGAGAAGCTGCTTCGGATCATCGGAATCAACCATCTTGGTACCTGCAAATTGCAATCTTGCAACAACTGTAACATGCTGTCAACTAGTCAAAATTCGATCATCCCATTTCACTTAATCTAACTTCTCCCCAATTCGATTCGATCACATGTAAGTTTCTGTCCTATTCAAATTAAAAATTCATAAAAAAACATTGATATTAGAACTCGAGAATTACAACAAAAAAAAAAAAAAAAAAAAAATAGAAAAAATACAAGGGAAAATTGACTGATGTGAAGTTTTTCCAAATAGTTTTCATCGGTTTTTTTACTAATTAAAAGTATTTTTAAAAGAGATTGGAAGGAATTCTTTTTCGTTCAAAAGAAGTAAAACTTCTTCATTTAATTTTATTAATTAAAAGATCTTTCAAAACCTTCAAATTTTCAGAAATTTTTCATATTTTTCAATTTTTAAAAGATTATCAAAAGCTACCAATTTGTATTTTTTTTCTTGCATAGCATTCGTAAAGTTGTATTCATACAGTTTCTGGGCAAAAGCAATGATGTCGAGGTGAAATACTGAAGTAGGAAATATTTGGCTTATTATCTTTATCTCTAATTTATTTACCTTACCGTTTATTTCTCTATGTGCCAAAAGCGGCTTTTTCACAAACACAGGTGCTTAGGTAAAATGTTGTTGCTAAATTGCTCAGCCAATTATTGTAATTAATTGATTTATTAGTTCATGCATAAGTTAGTGAACTAAAATTTTTCCATTATCATTTCAATACTAAAAAGAAAATTTTGAGTAACTGACAATAATAATAAAATGAGAAATGATTGGAAAAGAAAACGAACAAAATTTTATGAGAATATTCGTCGCTGTAAGGCATAAACATTGTTACAATGAAAGTATTCGAAAAGAAATTATCAACAATCACTTTTTAATGTCACCAATTCGTCAACCGTTTCTTGTGACAGATCATTCACTTATTAGTCATATCGCGCTGGTAGAAAAAAGAAAAAACAAATTAATAGAAGATCTGTTTATTTTCTCTTCCGGATATGATTGTCCTTTCACTCGTTTTGCTACAGTTCAGTTTTTTTTTTTTTAAAATGACTATGTGGAAGTAAATTTTTAGTAAAACAAGAATAGAAATTCAGAAATGGAAATGTAACTATTATTATTTCAATAAAAAAAAAAAAGAAAAAGAAAAAAACTAATCTCCTTGCAGAGTTAAAAACAAAAATTGAAATTGAATTCATTATGGAGAAAAAGAATTCAAGAAATTTTACACCAGTTTAATAAGGGAGAAAGTTGAAGATCAGTTACATACAGTAGGGTCAATTGTCACCACTCATATAGCCTGTGTGCTGGCTGCATCGTCCCAAATGGTATACCGTTTTGAATGGCGCAAAGAGCCATTTTATATACTTCTTGCCCGTACCACCTACCTGCCAGGTAAGCGATCGCTAAGGTGAGACGAGACGCCCTCTTTCGTCCTCAGATGTTGATCATTAAGTTACCAAAGCAAGAAGGTATCGTTGTTGCTATCGTTTGCATCACTTTTTGCATCTGCTACATAAATGCATATCATTGCAAAAATAGAATGCAACTCCTCCATCTCTGTTATCATTATCATCATCATTATCCTCAGTATTATCATTATCATTATCATAATCGTTACCATCATTATCATTGTTTAATGTGTAAAATAGTAGCAATGACATTAATGTCATTGTGTGAATGGGCGTTTAGTGACAAATTTTTCTTATTAACTAATGAAGTTTGCTAAAAACCGGATTTGATGCTCATTCTATCAGCATTTCTAATTTTAATTTCATCGAAAGTCTCTCTCTATGTTTCTTTTGCTGCTTTCCATCTTTTATAACTTTTGACAAAGATGTAAAAAGCAAAAATACCATTGAGCATTGTTTTTATGCATGTATGTGTGTGTCACAAAAAAAAATTTAATTCTGTTCAAAAGGACAAAGTGAGCGGAAAAAAGGACACATACACGTAAGGACAAAGGTAGGATTGAAGAGGAAGGATGAAATGAAAGGTATGAAATATTTGAATTAATTCAATTGCTTACTTCTAATGAGAATTATTTGCATTTGAAAGGAATGAATTCCTTCTCTTGTTTCTTTCATCGGAAAATTAATTACTTTTAGCTACTTTTTAAGGCCATATTTTGTCATTCATCTTTCAGCGTTTCATTACAATTCATTTCGATTCCGATGTCAAATGACAGGATTAAAGAGAGAGAGAGAGAAAAACAGAAAGGAAGAGGGGGAGAGAGAGAGGGAGAGAGAGGGAAGAGAAGACATTAATCGGTGGGCATAAAAACAAAGGAAAAAAAAAGAAAGTTGCTATTATTCCTGTTTCTATTACTATCAAATGATATTCGTTTTGTTCTGTTTTTAATCAGGAAAAATTAATCATTTAATGCTTTTCGTCCGTTTAAGTCGTCCGTCCGTTTTCGTCCGTCCGTTTAATCAATAGTCCGTTTAAGTCGTCCGTCCGTTTCCGTCCGTCCGTTTAATCAATATTAGCCGAATTCAACAAATATCCGATTACAGTTGGAAAACAAAACTTGTAAATTAGCACAATTTGTGTGAAAATAATTCAAAATTGTCATTGATTGATTTTGCAAAGAGCTGGAACCATTTTATTTTAAAATATTAAAGTGACAAGATGAAAAACAACAACTTTCAGGAATAGAATTGCTTTTGTGACATGAAAATTTTCTCAAAATTCCATTTAGCAAAACATGTTGATATAAGCGCATGTACGGAGGAGAATGCGGAAATGGCATAGAGAGAGGTAAGTGACAGGTAAGTGACACGTTAATTTCCTGAATTTTGAAATAAACCTTTACCATCTTTTGCTATTTTCAGGTTTTTTGGGAAATTTTTCACACAGTAAAGCAATGAATGGAATGGTATAATAAATGACTGAATTTACAACTATAATAATGACTTCTCATTTGCTTTACAATTTAATGAAGTCAAAAAAAAAAAACAAACATACCTTTTTTCCCTCTCATTTTTTCTCTCCCAGAAATTGGTTACCCATCCAATAAACTATTCCTCTTGAAAAAGCAATTTTAATTTTAATGCTTATGATATTTAAATTCTTTAACTACACCTCAAACTGTAAAAATCATTTTACATGTCGGGAAAATTCAATTATAATTTCAATAAAATTATCTTAATCATTAGATCGATTCTGTATCCGTTTACTTCCATCATTTTCATAATTGCAAGAAAGATTTCAACAACAATGAAAACAATTTAATAGTAATCATTAAGCTATCACTTTTATCGTTTTAAATGTTATTTTATTTAACTGAAAATATCAACCTTGTGATATATTATTGAGGGGAATACTTCTGATATTGCTATTTCTACAAATCATTTATCTGTTCAGACTTTTGGCTTACTAAAATTTTCTCTTAACACTGAATAAAGTAGTGTAAAAATGGAAAAATTAGCAGTTTCAGTATAGATTCGAAAAGAAACTACAGTATACAAACGGTATCACATGGTTAGGTGATACAAGTGTAGTTCGATGGTAATGACTTATTGGAACTTAAAGTTAGTTACTATTTACAGCGCGAAATTCCTGAAAATGAAATTGAAATCGGCAGGTGTTATTGTTGATTTAATTTTTGATTTCTTGAAATCACTGGTTTAGTTTAATTGAATTCTTGACTCTTTCCAAATAAATCCTAAACTAAACTATCATACTACCATTACTCAGCATTATGAATGATAATGATATCTATTTTCAACAAAAATAACATATATTTATAGTAAATTTTTAACAATAACAATAACAACAGAGATTTGCATTTGTAATAAGGACAATCAAATGATTTTTGCACTAACAAAACATTTTCAATGATAGTTACTATTTTGGTTCAAAATGGATGACAGAAGGGAAAGGAAAGGTAAATATTTAATTTGTGATTAGTGATAAATTAGATGATATGAAAATGGAACATTGAAAGAGAAGAAGAGAAATGAAATGAATCATTTGCAGCTCAAACTACAAAGGATTTCATTAATTTTACTGGAAAAAGAATGAAATATAAAAAAGTTACCATTTTTCGAAACAAATCGTCAAAGTTCCTAGACAGATTATTGAAATAGAACAAGAAAAATTATTTTCAGCATTTTGTTTCAAATATGAATCAAATTTTAACTTAATTTAAATCTGATAATATTTTGGGTCATTAAATATGACAAATAATGAATTGTGAGTTATAGGCTTAAGTGCTAAAATACATTTGCGTGAAGTAACAAAATGCGGTAATAGTTAAATTTCCCGATTCTCGATCAGATTTCTAACCCTGGCTTGAGTATCCCTTATCAAGCATAAAATATAATTTAGGAATAATTCTTTGTTAATTGCATTCAGATTATATTTATTTCTTCGTGCAATCATCTTCCAACACAAAGTTAGCCATTCTTTCAGCCAATTCCGCCGTATAAGCCATTTCATCAGCACTTACATCCGGCGCAAATCTGTAAATTGTCAATGTAATGGGATAGAGTTCATGGTCATTATTTCAAAAATCAACTGATTCTCAGTTCTGCTATCCTTTTTCGGACAAAAAAGAATGAAGTAGAAGTTGCGACCCATTGACCACTTAATTGTATGACCTCTAATGGCTCTGAACTGACTAATGTACAAATTAAAAAAAAAAACAACTTCTCCGCCAATATTGATTCATCCTGGACAAAACATGATTTTCAAATAGCCAAATGAGATGAAATAAATACCATCAGCAATATTGCCAGGGTTATTTTTAGTGTCCAATTTTCAAAAACTTCAAAATACACTGACTAACCGATCAGTCTCAAGGCATATTTCGCGAGAATTACAAATATGGTGAAAACTGCGAAGTACAACAAACTCTTATTTTAAGGAAAATTGTTTGAAAACAAAAATACGAAGTGAACGTTACATATTAAAAATGAATAAAATAAGACAAGTTTATGAAATCAATTAGTTTAAGCTTAATTAAACATTACTAACTTATCGAAGTGAAATTTTGAGAAAAATTGGCTAAATATAACTTTCCATTGGAAGCCACGTTTGGAATCTATGCGATCGATACCCCATAAATGCATTAGATCGAAATATGAACCACAATCCATAGCATTTGGATTTGTTTCTTTTACCTGCAAAAATTAATAGAACCATTTTTGATACTAAAAAGTTTTCTTTCTTCTTTTCTCTTGTTTTCATTCATAGATCCATTTACTGATAGATGAAGGTACCAAACGAAATGACCGCATAGGACGAGAAAGAAGAAAGTAGAAAACACTACCGATACGTTTGAATGCATAATGCGGTTATGGTTAATATAACTACTGTAGCTATTTTATATTAATACATCAGGTCAAAGGGCAATGATTATTTGAGATCATTTCTTTTGTGGATTTACAATAATTAGCTAATCGAGATATTACTCCTCATATTTGCCTTTTCTTCTCTTCATTCCTACTCGCCATGTTATCTTCTTAATCTTATACGTCTGTCAATGTAATATTTTGCATGAGTGTAACTTGCTGTTGACCTATGCCCAGTGGAATGAATGTTTAGATGATTCTACCGACTGCTCAAATAATAAATTAGACCGAGAATTCAAGAACAAATGTACCATGGCTGGAAATGAAAACTCGAAATGAAATTATGGAAGTTAATTTCGAATATATTAATGTTATGAACATATTTGAAATTTACGTAATTCAACGTTTCTTAAAATTTATACAAAAATTTCCTTTCCAAGAATTTTCTTGAAACAACAAGAGATTTTCAATATTTTTTATTGATGAAATGAATTATTTCAATGATTTTGAAACTAATAGTTAGTGTAACTTTTATTATTTCAATAACAGGTTAAAGGTCATAGAAGATGGAGTGAGTTTCATCGCTATCAGTAGAATAAGTTTGTAGAAAATCTTCCCAAACCTAAAAGTGGTCTTTCAAAATTACTGAGTAATCTTATCTGCTTCAGTTTTTAAATAGTTTAACTTTGTCAAATCCGTTGACAACTCTTCTTTTCAAGTATAATTACATTATATATGGCCCAACGTTTCATTTCCACAGGTCCACCAAATATTTTAAAGCAAAATTCTGGAAGTTCATTGCCGGAAATAAAGAAAGAAGTTAAAGGATGAAAGGCGGGTAAAAAGCTGCAAGGATTGATGTTCCTGAAAACCGTTTCCTGATCGTCAGCCGATTGCACGTTACTGATTGGGATTTCCAAATTTTCGTCGATTCCTGTAATGAAAGTGAAACTCAGTTGTCAGACAATCACATAACCATCTTAAGGTATCGTATGGACCACTGATTATCACAGCTTATCAAGTATCATTTTCCACTTATTTTATTTCTCGTTTGAACTTCTACCGGATGATTCAATTCTTGCTGTAACAATATCTTTCCAAAAGTTTGGAGAAGATCAATTCTTCTTCCTCAATGTCACAACAATATCAATTCTTTTTTAGACTCAAATATGTGATGAAATTTCCTTAATTGTTAAGCTATATTAAAAACAATTTTTCATAGAACATTTTAAAAATACAATCTTTTGTAAGTTCCATCTATCACATTTCGTTTGATCATTTCTTCTAACGATATCTCATTATAGACAAGCTTCCCGTACTTACAATTTTAAAAGAAAAATAATATTGAAATTTCAGGACTGAATGATATTTTAATTCAAACTTTACCGCTTTGATGTTATCTCATAATGTTATTTTTTGGAATATGTTTTTACATATGCTTTTACATACCTTTTCAAGATTTTTCTCATGCCATTGTCGTATCCGTTGAAGCTACCTTTAGAGTGACATTTCAATATGTCAACATTTTCAGAGAGAGGCTTCATAATCACAATCTGTTCCGTGCATACTTCAAATGGATGAAAACTAAGCCGACGATATAATTTTAAAAGAAAAAAAATAATTTAAGTTTGTTAAACAATATAATACTTACTTCATAATTAATGCAAATAATTGTAAACAGATTTCGATACCAATACTGTATAATTTATGAAATGTTACAGTAAGCTTTAAATAGTTCAAATATGAAAAACAAACTGTTTATATTATCAGCTCTGAGCTCAACGATAAAATAAATCTGAACTGATTAAGCTTAACTAACAATACAAGAATCTATAGCATAATCAGTGTACTGAATTACTAAATTGATTTGCGCAACTGCATGCAATACATGCATGCAATTGTCCTGTCGGTAACAATATCAATTGATCGATCCTATTCATGGTATTTCATTCAATAAGATCATTTAAAGTACAATCATATCATCAGACACTACAAAATTGTAGTTGTTTTCAAGGAAATGAATAATATGCAAATTATCTATTAGCCCATATTTGCATAATATACTTGCTATAAGCAGCAAAAGATGATAAAAGGAGAATTTTCATACATTTTGATGTATTTAAATTTCCTTTATGACTATCCTTTTTACGTGCATTTATCTGCAGCATTCATTTTATGCATGCATGTCATGCAATTAAAATATTACTTCTATCCTTAACCAATAAAACAGATTTTTTATAATTTTCAATCAAATTTTATTCATTATCTTACCAGTCGTATATTGTTTTAATAGCATCTTTAATCTTCATTTTATGTATTTTAAATAAACATCCAATAAGCAGAATTGAATTTAATTAATTCAATTTAATTTCCAAATGTATTTGGCATCTTTTATTCACAAACCAGGAAGTGTAATGGATATTCCGAGAATGACTTTCTTGATCCATACATTTCTGATCAGTTCTAAAATTATTTTCGAGTTATTCATATTTCTAAGTGCAAATCGTTTGAAATTTTTTTAAGAAGAATATCAAATTTTCAAAATGAATTCTTCATATTTATGTTGTACTGATATGAGTGGAAACATTGCATAATGCTTGTTCATTGTTTACTATTTTCGACGGTAGACATTTTTGAAAAATAATTTATTCAAAATTTCTCTTCAAAAGAATTCATGGCATGATTTTAAGTTGTTTCCGGATGTTTTCCCATATGACTTCGTGGATTTTCCTTTGTAAAAGTTAATTTCACCATTTTTATCCATAAAAGAATTGGAATTTTTCGAGAACAATTTTCAAATTATTCTCCTGCGATATTTTCAAAAGCCTTTTTGTATTATTCATCCTTGTCAACAATGAGAGTGAAATAAGAGGTAAAAAAGGTTACGCTATGCGACATTGGAAGATTTAAAAATATTTTTAACCATTCTTTTCCCTAATTTTATTGACTACTATAACTCTTTGTTTTCTACTCTGATGACAAAAATCTTGATGCAATTTGCCGAACAATGTTGATCATAAAAAATTCAGGCTACTCTTGGTTTACAGTTAGACAGTACTGATTAGACTACTAGCACTATAAAGCAGTTGATATGATATTGTCCCAGGATCATCCGAATTTTTTAATCAGCATCAATTCTCCTTAGCAGCATCATTTGATATTGTACGTCTGAATTCCCACAGAGTTCATCAACTGTTTCATATTATCAGTAGTCTAACCAGTACTGCTCAACTATAAATCATCAGAGTATCATCCAAAACAAATCAATAAGATCTAATTAAATAATTTCGAAGATTATAAATTCTAAATACATTCCCGAACAAACAAACAAGTATCTTCCTGGAAAGATAGGACAATAATTCCCTACTGGTTGGTCCGCGAGATTTAAAATATGGTGTGCGACTGGGACGACGTGGTTTGTGTTTTTGAAGCTATACATGATTCGTTTGTCAGCGATACAGGTTTTTAATATTGTATTATTAACCTATCGAAATCCCTTTGTGACGTCACTTCATTATTAACTCCCTACCTTACTTTTACTTACAAGATTTCATTATTCTGTCTAATCAACTCTCTCTCCACCTGTTTTTTATTGTTTATTCTTCAATATTAATATAATTTTTTTTCAATGTAATTTTAATTTAGGTAATCCGACAGCCTGAAAGAGAAATTCCTCAATCCGCTGTTTTATTGTTTTATTTTAGAAAATAGCGCCTGGAAGAAAATGCGATAATAGTTACATCAAATTCGGATTTACTATTGAAAACAATAAAGAAATAAAACTACAGTGTGTCATATGCGTCACGGTTCTCGAGAACGATCCTTTGAAGTTATCAAAATTAAGAGGCCAATTAGGGATGATCAGTTCGATCGACAGAACTCTTTAAAGGTGAATTAGAGAATCTGGAAAAGATGAACTCGATGAACCTAGCGATAAAAATTCAGCTAACGATATAAATCGGAAAAAACATTCATCACGTCGTTTGAGGTATCAAAATTAATAGCGAAATCAAAGAAAACTACACACAATAGGATAAACACTTGTAAAAGTTTATATGATGAGAGCTGTTGAAGGAGTTTTGGAGATGACAGCTAAATAAAAAAGATAAGAAATACCTCTGTTGAACAACACAGTAAAAGCTCGAATTGCGGTAATGTCAAATAACATCGAAAGGAGGGACAGCTTATCTCGAAAATTAAAAATTCTCCATGTTTTGCTTTGCAGTGTGATGAGTCAATAGATGTTTCTAATTGCAATCAGTTGCTTTATTTATCCGCTTTTTAGGCGTCGATAACACTATTAAGCAGGAATAAATGATTTCGTGGGGACTAGAAACGACGTCAAAAGGTATGGATGTCATGGAAAGCTCGCCGGTTTCCGTACGGATGACACTGCAGCTATATTATACTTAGTTCCCAAGACTATTCCCAAATACCGCTGCTAATGAAGCGATAATGACCAAAGAATTGATCATTATTATCAAAAGTAATGGCTTAAATACACACCTTTTAAAAAAACTGTACGTGGAAATGGACTCCGACCACAAGACACTTCCTTACAACACCAAAGTTCTTGGCTGTCGAAAGGCAATATGCTACGAGTTAAGAGAAGAAGTTTAGCTGTTTTTAGTCGAGAAGAAAAAGATTCATTAGAGCAGTTTTCTGATCTGAGAATTCGGGCGTAGTTGATTTATCTTGCGAATGTTTTTGCACATTTAAATAAGCTAAATTTGCAGTTACTAGTTTCTGGAAACAGAAATTTAGAAGACTTGGGGAATTAGACTGGGAATCGATTGGAAGCAAATGATGATGTGCGTGGAACTTTTAGCAATAGTATTAATCTCAGAATTAGATGAACATCGATGAAAACCAAATTGAATTTTCTGTTAAAGATATTCCTTCTTTTTATATTACATTGGTATTCTAACTTAAGCTAATGCTTTAAAGGTTTCAATTATAGTTTATTTTCAAATCAACAGAATTTATTATTTTTGACCATTTGATCCATGCCACAAATAAAGAAGCGGAAGTGACCTGTGCTCAAGAAAAGGTTGGGAATCACTAGTTTAATGCATTGGGAATGGTGAAATTTTTTTTTGGAGCAAATAATGCTTGAAAAATTTTTTTTGGAACAAATAATGCTTGAAAAAATTGTCTACAATCATATTGGAGGTACCAGAGATCAGTGTGGTACGAAAAATTTTGAGCTAGGCTGTATTAAAAAAGAAGAAAACTCTTGTCCTTTCTCCGTTACCCAAAGCTTTACCTTAAAGAATCGTTACCTAAAGCTTTTTCTCCGTTACCCAAAGCGTTACCTAAAGCTCATCCGGAACCGAACATTCAACTTCCTGAATAACACTCGTAATTTTCAGATTTTCAGAGCTATGAAGCGACGGAAAAATATTTCATGGAAAAGTTGAATCCAGTAATTCATATAATTTATAATTTGCATTATATATAAATCATATATAATTTTTTTGCATGTATTACGCCTGTTCGAGAAAACCTTATTCAATTATCAACTTAGCCAGTTGTGAAAACTTCACTATTTTTATGTTTATCGGCATTACTACGTGTATTACAATATCGATTTAAGCGAAACTAAGTCTTCTCAATACCGCACATAAAGCATACGTTAGCGAACAATTCAGTGCTGTAAATTATAAATTGAACATTAAACTTACAACTTGAATATTTACATTTCCCATCTACAGGTGGTAAGGTACCAGCTCAGAGTCCGATCAAGTGGAACTATATTCCGAATTCATTTTTTAATCAGGAACTCCAAAACTTTTCATTGATGATGATATCGGTGCTTTTTCTTCCAGAAAAAAGAAAAACATGCTGCGATTTTAAAAAACAATTCATTTGTCCCATTTATTTCATTCGTTACCCCGAGTAACGAAATAGGTTTTGGGTTAATATAACCATGATCAAATGATTACTCGGCCTTCAAGTCTTGTGTTATCTGGAATCCTCCCACTAGTCTTCCTTTTTTACTTCTTCTTACATGGACTAAATCTTCCCGGAAGTGACTATTTCAATGTCTTGTGTTTAAACAAAAGTAGTTGTCTCGTTTCCTTCTCACTTTTTTTTTTGAATAGATTAAAATATTGTATCCAAGTTCGTCCTTTTTTTTTAGAGAAATATTACATTATTTATGTGTGGGAAAAATTTCCCGGATATTTTTGTGCTTGAAAGCATCCAATAGCAGTAGAAAATAAGAATAAAGGCGGAAGGGTTTGAAAAAAGGCAGAAGGGTTGTTATGAATTTGATGGGAGGTATATATAACTGCATATGTGACATAAATGATAAGTTTTATGAAATAAGCTAGCAGATGTGATGGGATATATGTGTAGTAGTGTGAATTTGTATCATAAACTTTATTAAACAAAAAAGTAAGTGCTTCATATTAAAAGGAAGTGGAAAAGTATTCATCGGTCAGTTGATGAACTTGAAATGAACAGAGTAAACAGTACAGAAGTTGGCCCTGGATCAATTGATCAACAACGACCGAGGCTTGCTGCAGAACAGCCGGATGCAGCTCAGGCATTAGCTGCTGAAGCTGCGCAACGACAAGCATTACCACAACCAAATCAGTTCGGTAGGTTTGAATCTTTCAATATTCTAAAAGCTTTAATTCATGTTGTAGAATAAATAAACGCTAGGAATAATTATGTTCGAAAGAATTAAGAGGGAGCAACAAAGGAAAATGCGTTCTATTTAGTGGGAAACATTCAGCTGACAAGTCCAGTATGAAAAAGTATGATGGGACTGAGAAACTCAAATGAAGATGTGGGATTTCTCTATACGTTCACGTTGATATCATGTTATTTTCTGTTCAGGTGCGGTACGAGATAGATTATTTCATGCGATGCTTGTACGTGTAGCAATTAGTTATAATCGACACGTTCCTATGTTGGGCAAACGTTTCATTGAATTTTCTTCTTTAATAACGGTGTGTTTTTAATTCGTTTTTTTTGGCAAGTACATCTTATTTCTTTGTTCATTTCGACGTTTGTGTGCAATTTAAATTAGTGATATAGAGGAATAAATACTCACTACTCACGAATACTCGTTTATCGATCGGGGCTGTGTGATGTTTGAAATAATGTATAGTTTAGGAAGGTTGTTTTGAGTGAACTATCTTACCACAGTTGTACACACATGTGATCGTCAGTACCTTACAAACCAGCAAAAATAAATCGCAAAAAATTGAAAAACAAGAATTACCACTTTTCAGGCGATAATATTGCTCTCTATAATGGTTTATGTACATCATTTTTTTGATGAAACAGATAGCAACTGTTTAGCACCATTCATGGATCAATGGCCCAGAAATGGTGTTTTGCGCGTAGAAGTTGTCAGAAATTTGAAAAGATTTAATGCTTATCAAGATAGACTACTAGGTAAAATTACACATTTATAGTTTTTAGGCAGCTTCCGATGAAAGAGGTTTCTTAAGAGTATTCTATCTAAATCCTGGATATCTTCCCTGACTCAAATTATTCGATCACTATGCAAATGCTATAATTTCATACTAACTTTGCTGGTTTGAACACTTTTGTTTGATCATAGTTGAATGGTTTATTTCTTCCTTTATCTCTTATCCCTTTATTTACAATAATTCTTCCTATGATTGGAACCCGGATCTCTATAAATTATTATTTTGTTTTAGTCGTCAAACACAATTGAGCCATTAATTTCAGAAAAATCTTATGGAAAACAAAGCGAAAGTAATACAACAGTATATGACTTAAAACGTGTATTAATGAAAGGTCCTAGCGCTTTGCCAAAGGAATTGCAAAGTAGACCCAAGCATTATTTTCGGTTTGTTTGATTTGTGTTTATAAGATAACAAAAACTAAATTAATTGACATATTTTTGACATACGTTTTATTTCTGTCAGGACAACATCCCCAAAAATCATGCATGCTTCTCTGGCAGTAAGTTGTGCTTTCTATTCAGTGACAGTGGTAGCGTAATTAATAGTTACAGAATTTTATTTGTAATCATTTCAGGAAGAGGAGCGACCATTGGAGCAGCTTCTTAACTGCAGAAGACTCATTATTGAGTTTTTTCATAAGGTCGGATAGTAATTTGAAAAAGAAACTTTTTTTGGAGGATTTAGACGATGATGAGCTTGACTTTGAGTCACAGGATTTAATTGGTATGTTTATTGAAACTGTATTTAATTTTCTGCACTCTACCTTTATTTATTAGTGGTATCACTGACTGCTTTTTATTCATCATGATTATATCTTCCTTTTTTTTCTGGTATTCTAACATTTCTCACGCAATATTAGTGTACCAAATTGCCCAGAAATTCGATGTATTAATGACATTACTTCAAATCATATAAATCGAGAATTCCAGAAAGAAGTTCACAATATTTATCTGTTTTAATCCGTTTGCTAATTAGGTCTATAATAGAAAGCTGATTGTTTGGAGTTAGTGGAAAATCAGAGTTTATTAATTTTGTAAGGGAGACAAAAAATATTGTTAGAAAATATTGTGTTATTTCTCGGCAGTGCTATCCTGGATATGTTGGGATAATAGAGATTTGCAGGAGCAACTTTACACTAATTACAGCCATCTCTATTCTTTTTCCCCTGCTGTTAATCTTAAATAATTCTAAAAAATTCTACACTTGTTACTCACTGTTTAAGCCGGTATAAGTTATCTGCACAAACTGTCCTTGAAGCGTCCAGCAGAACGTCACGGTTTATTCACGTCCTTTAGGACATGTGCCTTACATTCCATTATATTACTGCTGTCCATTACTATCTCATTGTGTAATGGATTAAAATTTCAAAGCAATTAATTATTTAAGTATGTATATTTCAGATGATTCAGACGCAAGTTTCGAGTATGTTGTAGAATATTCTTTATATTATGGTTTGCTAAAATTGCCCCATTCGTATCGTCTTGAACACAACATCCCATTTCTCCTTGTTAGGGTATTATTTTCTTATTTGGCTAAAATGAAAAGAATTGATCTACAGTGAAGTCTGTTCTAAAATTGGCATCGTTTCGTCGCTAACTCATTCTCTTTAACCGGACTATTGATAAAGTGGATTTTCGATGATCTTTCTAATATTCTAGTCAATCAACTTCACGTATTTTCATGCTTACTTCAAGTTTCTGGGGACTTATGAATCGTAGTTGTGTGATATGATCTAGATATTGACTTTTATAATTCTTGAGATTTCCAGACCAAATCTTGTAGACGATCATATAAATGTGTTTAGTACTTAAAGTTCACTAGTTTCTAATTCCTTTCCTGAGACAGTGTTTTGGATTATTAAGAATCTGATCAACTTCACTAAATTTACTTTACTGATAATTTTCAGTTAGATCCTGAAGTTGATAGTTGTTTTGGTGATTGGGTCAGTCGTACATTGATGAAGAATTTTATTGGTTATGAGGATGTGTTAATGTCTTCAGTGAAAGCTTTGGCTGAAAATGAGACTGACAAAGGTAATTCGGTGTCATTTTTGTTCTTTGTTTGCGGTGGTAGCGTATGCTCATAATTGTTGTCGGATCGTTACCAAACTATCATTCATTATGGCTTTCGTGTTTAAAAAAAAAAAAACACATTGAAACTGAGGTCTTTTTTATGCGCTTTCCAGCAACAAGGCAATTTTTTAAGAATGCGAAAGAGATGACTACGAAAAATAGGGAAATATTTTTTTTTTGGATTTAGGATATTTGCGGGATATGATCACCGGAGAGCATTATCGATTTGTCACTATGGGCAATCCAAGAGCAAGTTATTTCACTGCTTTGATTGTCATGCTTATTTTTGTAAGTGCTTCTTTTTATCTCGACTGCAGACATCCGGTTTTACAGTTAATTTCACGTCATACAAGTACATGGTTGCAATTTTTGGGGCATCCTTTAACATATAAATGGTTAGCGATAATCTGACTACCAAGTTAAACCAAATAATTTATTTGGTGAAACTTCTTCTTCAAGGGATTCATTTATGGTGATTTTCAACATGTAGGTTATCGCTGTAGGAGACATAATGCACTGAATGATTAGACAAATTTGGCGTTTCTTAAAATGTGGTTTAAAAGTCCTTTCAAGTTGATGCGAGGATAAATATCAGCAATGATTATTATCGAATTTGAATACAGTCGAAGTGGTTGAAAAGTTAAAAATTTCATTTCAACATAAAATCCAAATCCAGTAGGGATGTATAATAGCTCTATGTATTATGCATCCTTGAAGAAATGCACTTTTTTGCAATTAAAGATATGCAAGCTTTGAGCTGGAGCGCTTGCAGACGTTTGCGATATCGATGTTGCTGCGTTTTTCGCATCATCAAATATTCTTGTTTATTGTTGATTTATTACAAATGTTTGAGCTCAATCAAGCATTGGTTTTTCCGGCTGCACCACTTCTCACCGTTATTTTAGCTCTCGTTGGTAGGTTTTCGGGGTTTCCCATATTTTAGCGTTTTGAATTTCATTCATTTAACTGTATTTTATACATTGGCTACATTTAATAGTAACAGCGTTGTTTGAAGTGCTAAACCTTATTTCATCTCAAATATGTTAAAAGTCAATTTATAGGTGCTTTATAGGGTTGATACATATGCCTTCTTACATATGCCTTTTACATATACATATGTCTTCTTTTCTGGAAAATTATTGCTGAATGTAGCGTACAGCACAAAGCGACTAGAACAAAAGGACAAGTAATTACTTCCTTCAAGTAAACTAGAATCTGAAACCGGTGAGTTTCAAGTTCTAGCTTTCTTAAAGGAAGTACCAAAGTACTACTGTACATGAAGCAGTTGTAAAGAGTGTATTTTTAGGTATGGAAGCCATAATGTCGGAAGTATTCAATGATACCTCTACCGCATTTTATGTAATATTATTGGTTTGGATAGCGGATCAATATGATGCAATTTGTTGCCATTCACCTATTAGCAAAAGGCATTGGCTAAGGTAAGGTTCCTTTGTTTCTGTGTTTTCATTGACCATAATTATTGATTCGAGGAATTTGTTTTCAGATTCTTCAAATGTCGAAAAACCTATTTATCGGCAAATATGTTTTATTCAAGTTTTTCGAGTTTCAGATTCTTCTATTTGTATCACTATGCATTTTATGCTTATCAATATCGGTATAACGGCCAATATGGTGGTCTAGCTTTACTTACTTCCACATTCTTTATTTTGGTAATTATTTTTTCATTTTTTTTGTTATTCTTAGGTAAAAGTTTGCTAGAGAGTGGTAATTTATCTCTGAAACTTTTGAACATATTGAGAGTTGAGGTTAATAACCAATTCTTTTCTGGTCTTCTACATATCGGTTATCGATGCATGGTGGTTTTATAGAATCAGCTGAATTGCATTTAAATTTAACAGTTTGAGTCACATGTAATTAATGACAAGTAATAGATAGCTTTTCGTAGTTCCCAACTCTATAACCTCTTTTTATTTCACATTTTTCTTATTTTTTATACCGTGACTAACCAATAGCATTTAACATTGCGTAAAAATAAATTATTGTATTTTAATACAGCATTCAATGATCTTCTTCTTTCATCACTATGAGATGCCTCTAATTATTTATCACGATAGGCTGCAGCGAATCATCACTGACTTGCAACATAATCCTGTTAGTTTATTTTATTTTATTTCAATTCTGTCAGATTAGTCTACTTCTAGAATTTCTGAACGGTTTTATTTCAGTTATGGTTAAAATAAAACAAAGTTATATTTATTGAATCTCAACATTTATAAAGTTGTTTATTCCAAAATAAGATAATTTAGATAAGGTTATTACATTATAAATATATTATCATAAAGTACGAAAATTTCAAAGTTATCCAAATAAAGACTTTCAACTGGGTTGATAACAACCCCAAGTCAAGTTTTTTCTCGATCGTTTAGCCCGTTTGATTTAGCTATTTGGATTGTTGGGTTTGTAATTTTTACTAGTTATCTTTTTTCAATTTCAGCAACCAGGTGAAGCGACGAGTACTCCTCCAGGTACACAAACTGCAACCAATGGTACATCAGCAGTACCATCGACGAGGAATGAAGCTGTTGAGGTTCTAACAGAGAGAAGTTTACATGGCGGAGAAGCCTCATCATCCAGAGTTGGAACTACCGCAAGCGGTACATGGTTGTCCCAAGCGGAAGAGGTACCATCTGTACGGAGCAAACAAAACGCTACAGCTGAATTGGATGAAGGTAGTAGCTCAGTGGCTGAAATCGATAATCTGGCTTTGAATGATCCTTTAGTAATGGCTGGTGAACGTACAGCACATGAAATTGTAGGCAATGCTATTGATTGCGTATTTAACTCAACGGTGACATCAGGAGGAGCGGATACTCCTCCTTTATGAGAATTACTGTTTTGATTTCATAAATTGTTGCTGTTAAATACCTAAATGACTGATATGATGCTTATTGACGGGAGTTTTTTGTCACTTTATGAAACTGTAATCTGTAACTATCCAAGATCATACTCATATTCTTTTCATCTAACTGTGACACGTTGGTTAGGCTGTTGATGGTTCAGAACACTTGGCTGTAACTGATTCACAGGCAACTTCGTTTTGTTGGTCTGCTTAGCACTTTCAGGAATAGGTACTGTTTCTCTTTTGGTTTCATTTAACTTTTGTGCTTCGACATATATATTTGGGATCAACTTATCTATATTTCGACCACTTTGAGTTCAGTATTTTAGATCAACTTTTATTTCTGACAAATTTCTTTATTGAAATTCGTAATTTACGCAATATGTTTGCACCTACTGACTTGTTTAAATTGATTGCAAAGTATATTTAGCTTCACATTACTGCTTTGTACACATTTTTAGCATTGTATATAAAAGTGTAAAGTGGTTTTTTTTTGTTTTTTCAATCGACCTATCTGTATACCTATCTGTATATCTCATTGCTTTCCATCCTAGACGTTATAGGCCTGCTTTATTAAACTCCTGTACCAGTGATGTATTTTTCTTGTAAAGTGATGGATGTTTTATTTATGGTCAGTCCTATAGCACTGTTCATGTGTAATTTACAGTCGTCATGTTATGTAGTCAGGGTGAAATTTGTAGCTATGATCGAATTCAATTATTTTTGCATGACTGTAACCCGTAGTGCACTGACAAAAGTGTGACACAATTTTTTTTAGGTTTTGCAACTTTTTCAGTAGAACTTTCTGACTACGAGTGCATGAATCATGCCAGTTTGTTATGTAATTTTCGCACTGTGATGTAATATTTAACTTAAATCAATAACTTCCAAGTAGGTATTTTATAAATTTTTTATCATCATTTTAACTTCTGTTTGGGCTTTGGTTGACTTTTTTATATGTAAACGATGTCATACTTCGTGTGATTTTGACGAGTAGATAATTTCGACTTGTAGTATCAAAAATATATTGCACTAAATAATGTAAAACAATTCATAGTATTAGTTTGATTCAAATAGAATCTGTGTGATTCAATATCTGGTAAACATTTCCCGAAAAAAGCACTTGAGGAAGGAATTCTGTTTTTCAAGCTGTGGTGCTATGAGAAAATTTTCTAAATGGTGACTGGACGGGATAATCCCAGTGATACGAATCAAATTTTCTCATGATGCACTATCACTTTTGAGATTTCACGGCTTGTGGAGGTTTTCTGGCAAAAGTTTCTCGGTGGACTTTGGTCTTTTAAATTTTACTAAATTCATGTTACTTGCATATTGTTCCATTGCTGTATATTTTGTGTCATTTGATTTCGATTAATAGCGGAATATAATTTTCCTTAGCTTTTTCAGTTGTGAAATATTTTGTCCTATTATGGAATGTTTAGCTTTCCAACTGAACAGCTACGAGATTCAGTGCCGTAGAATTGAGGGAATTTGCAAGGGTAGAAAAAGTCCAAAAATCACTCAATGACTTCAGGAGTTTTCCGGAGAGAGACTGGGAGAAAATTGTTGCAGTAACTGTTAATCCTCTCTTCAAAAATTTTTCCGAATGCACCCAACGCCTTTGTATCGCATCACAGATGAGCAGAAGGAGAGTGTCTATGAACCTGCCGAGGATACTTTCTTGTTGTTGGATGCCTTAGAAGAAGATAAAGAGGTATGGGTAAAATATTAATAACTGCAGAAGAAAGTTGACTTCGGAATTTTAATTTCCTAAATTTAAGTTTCCAGGAAGAAGGTTGAATGAAGGACCGAAGGGTTGTTGAGATCTGTGCGAAATGACCGGAAGTTGTCATGTAACTTTGAGACTTGCTTATTCTTTTTCAGGCTTTAGAACAGCTAGAACCAAATGTAGTTGTTGAGATTGGGAGTGGTTCTGGTATTGTTTCGGTATTTTGTCAACAGTTACTTCGGGTGCCGGTCTTTACCTTAACAACAGACATGAATTTTAAGGCTTTACAGGTTTGGAATTGCTTCTTTGTAAGATTAAATTCGAAAATTCGGAACTCTATCGGCAACGGTCGGCGGAGGTGAAAATCTACTAGTCCTTCGAGTATTTCAATTTTTTCAAAAAGAAGCAAGAAATCTGCTTGTGATTGTAACTACATCTTACTTTTTTCGAGATTTACTTTTTCTTGAGCTTTTCTTTAAGTATTAATTTGTTGAGACAAAAAATGGCTCAGAAGGACTGGGATGTGGCGTAATCAGGGTTGCTGATAAATGTGAATTTGATTACTTTTTGAGAAATAAAATTTTGAAAATGCTAGTTTATGAAGACCACCTTATCTTAATAATTTTATTTAAACCATCAATCTCTCCTTAGTGCACTCGAACTACGGCGCAGCTCAATAATGTATCAGTGGAAGCAGTTCAATGTGATTTGTTATCAGCACTAAATCATCGATTATGTGGTCTTGTTGACGTGCTGCTCTTTAATCCCCCATATGTACCCACCGAGCAAGAGGCTACTTCGGACTCTGCAAGCCTTTTTTTTTCTCCTTTTTCTTATATTAAAAGTTAACTTTAGTTTTGTATATCTTGCCAGAACTATCGCTCAGGAATTTATCTTTCTTATTCGAATTATATTAGTTATCAACTCTGATTCGTCACTTAGTAACAAGAGGATCAACAAGATCAACTTGTTCCTTGGACTAGTTTTAGATCTTTCGTGCATTTATTTAACTGTCCCTGTCCTATCCTAGGATTTGTTTAAGCCTTTGCAAGATTTCCTTTTTCCATCCTCACTTCTCATTAAGATTTGAATAAAATAAAACGATGGCGATTTAACAATCCCATAATTCTGAATTAAAATTGTTAGTTACTTTGAAACTTTGCAATTTCTCTTACAGGTTCGCTGCTGGGCTGGTGGTCCCACAGGACGTGGCGCCATTGATCGACTTTTTGCTCAGCTTCCAGAAATTTTAGCACCAGGCGGCTTTTTCTTTGTTGTTGCACTTCATTCGAATGATATTGCCCGCATGTTAGCTTTTAATCAATCAATTTTTTCCAGTAAAATTCTACTTGAAAGGAGGTGCGGTATCGAGCATCTTTTCGTGCTTAAATTTACAAAATCGAAATATTGAATGATGTCGGGATAATTTATCATTTCAATACTGAGTTCTATTTGTTAGCATTACTCAACATTGGTAGATGATTATGGTTAATTGGTCAATCCTTCCATAGCTTTCATGATGTTTGAAAAGAGAACAATAAATACAATTTGTGGGATTTCACCACTGATATACTTAATTATAACTCCGGTATCAACATTATGCATCCCTTACATTCATTACTAAAGCTGAAGCATCTGCAATAAGGTGTTACTAAGTGATTAATCATGCCACTAATAAATAGTCAGCAGTATGTAAGTTGATTTCTTCACATGATGACGTTTGATGGAGCAAAAAATTATTTGGAGTATCTATTTGCTAAATATCAAGGAATCTTGAGAGATGCAGTAATCTTGACTTACTTAAGGATCCGCTTTCCATAATACCTAATATTGTTATTTATAACCTTTGTCATTCAAAGATTGGTCGCCGGGCGGGATTTTATGCGAGGTAAAATATAGAAGCATACTGTAGTTCGAAATGACCAGTCTTCTAATAATCATCCATTCTTCTATTACTGTTCATGGAGATAGGGCAAGTAGCAAAAAGATGGAGTGGGAATGCAATAATATAACTGATTCTGCACTCATTTCATACCTCTCTTTTAAAACATTGCTCTTCAAAATTTAAATCCTTTTTCGTTTCAAAAATTTTTTTACTTAAAACTTAATTGTATTACTGAAAACATTGCCATTAAATATCATTTTTAATCATTAATTCACGATTGCTTGTTGTTACTGTATATGTTATCAACTTTTTGGTTCCTTTATTAAAAGAATGTTGAAGTTTCAAGGAACTCTGTTAGAATTCGAACAACTTTGTAATGAATTGGAAAGAACCTTACCATTGAATTTTTCTTTTTCGTTACTTAATTCACCGGGATTTTCTCTTTCTCAATTCATTGCATTCTATACTATAGAAAACTGAAATAAAAAGACAAAAGATAACGGAGTATTACAATGCATTGGAAAAGTATCGCTTGTTCTCATTGAAGAAACAACTTGGATCGTTTGGGTTGGCTGGGGTTCAAGTTTCGAAGTTCCGCGATAGTTGAGATTTAACAATTTCATTGGTGTTAAGTTCAGGTTGGGAAGGACTTTAAGTTTGGCTCGCGGGTTTTGTGTTTTTTTCCCTTCTGCTTGCGGTGATTCCGTGGATTTTCACAACTCCGAAATTCTCAGAATTAAAAAAGACCGAAGATTCAGTGGGAATTTTAATAAATGGAATCCACACCAAAGCTCAGAGTAAGTTCCGTTCTGGGTTTTGAATTTTGCTTTTTTGTTTCAAGTCCATAGTTCAGACTTTAGAAATTTGAAGTTCAGTTCTGAAGTCGCAAGGATAAGACATCTGCTAAGTTTTTAGGTTCTTTGTCTTCATGGTTATCAACAGAATGCTACAGTTTTCCGGGATAAATCAGGCAGTTTCCGACGTCCTATGAAGAAATACGTTGATTTCGGTATTAAATGTCTCCACCGTTGAATACTTTATCATTAATCCTCGTCTTCAGTATTTCTTAGAAACGGTCGCAGAAATGTGGCTGTATCGGTATTTGTTGTTTGCCTTTTATGTCACATAAGTCTTTTGATCTTCGATCTAACTAATCCATGGGTTGTTAAAATACTGAATTATTTACGAACTCTTTTTTTACTTGGGGTATTTATCGTATTCCATAATTATTGACTAAGACCATCAATCTTTTTGTCTTCTTTTTCAGTTTTTATGAATGCTCCACACGAAGTTGAATGGGAACATGCTTCAGTAACTTCCGGTGATGAAGTGTCAGGCAAGGCTTAGAACCTTCTTCCTACTATTTTGATTACGAATTGAAGCACCGATAGCTATGGCTTTGTCACCTTTGATGACACTTTTTCATTTTTTATAGGATGTTTTTGGAATTTATATTTCAGTTACTAATATCATAAACAGTCGGAAACACGGAAAAAGCATATTCCACGGAATTGAGTATATCCAAGTAGTTTTTATAAGGTCGTTTACAGTGTGTTGAAGTGAGAATATCTGTTTGCATTTTACAAAGTTTTGCTTGCAGCAAGTATAGCACCAGCAGAATGTCGAGGATGGTGGTATGTCGCGGAACGTTTTCATACCAAGGAAGTGAAAGATCATGAAGGTTTCGAGGAATCTGTGCAGGCAGTCACTGACTTTGCTCGGAAGGAAGTAAGGTTTCTTTTCTTTCTTATTCTCTATCGAATAAATAGGAAATATAAAGTTGGTATATTTTGTTGAATATTTTGTTGATTGTAATATTGACAACAGTGAAGATTAATTTCCAAAACTTTGAATGGAAGCATTTATTATGAGCCCATATCAACTATTTGTTTTTAAAACGAGCAAACGTGTTTCTTTTGCTTCAAACAAAGCATTGTCTTATTCAAGTAAATAGAAAAAGAAAGATAAATTTAGGGACCTTTTGATGGAATACTTGGTTTTAGTCAGGGTGCGACCTTGGCTTTCTTGTTATCTGCTCTGAAGCAAAAAGGAGGTACATTTTTACTTCTTCATTCATAATTTCAATTTTTGCGAGTTCTTGTAAGCTTGCTGGATGGTGTGGAAAAGTTTCAGCAGTTGCTGGTTATAACTGGGAAACAGTAAAAACAATTTTTCTATGGGAAGTGGAAAGAGTTTGGATTTCAGATATTTTTGCTTTATTCGATTTCAACCACGCTTTTCATTATCAGAGTTCAATCTAATGGCTAGATTTCAGATGTGAATATCGATTTTAGATTTCTAATTTTGGTATCCGGATTCCCAAGCAGAAATCTTGAACACCAAAAACTGAACAGAATGGCTCATCCAAATCTTCCGTGTCTGCACGTATTCGGTGAAACCGATAAGGTTAACTTTTGTTTGTTTTTCCTTTTTCCTTCAAGAAAAATGCTTTTGAAGATTATTTCTAAAAATTTATAATAATTTTCACATTTTTGATTTAGGTTTTTTGTGCTACATTTTTCTTGAATTTTTTTGAAGCTTCGGACTTTTCCCTACATTTGGAGCTCCTTTTTGTATTTTCAATCTATGTTGCATATCGTATGTGTCCTCTTTTTTTTCTGTTTTTGATAGCTTTATGTGATTGTATGTCTTCAAATGTAAGAGTGGGCGTTTTCCAAAATCGAACGATGAAAATTTTTTGATTTATTTGTGATGCAATTATACATTACTCAAAAATGTTGTTACCATTGATAAAAATGAAATAGTTTTGGGCGCCAAACTTTATTTTAATTTTGATGCACCGATACCGGTGATAGGTGCACCGATACCGGTGATAGGTGCATCGATACCGGTGATAGGTGCACCGATACCGGTGATAGGTGCACCGATACCGGTGATTTTTTTTTTTATATCGATATCGGAGATGTATATTTAGTTGGAGGAAAGTCGCGAGAGAAATAAAATTCATGGAAACTCACTAAAATTCCATTTTTATATAGGAATAGAGAAATTCGATGAGATTGAGAATGATCAGGATTTTAATAATAGAGTTTTATGGCATTGGAAAACTAAAACTATTTGGGATTTTGGGAATAGTTAAATCTTAATTTTCAAAACCACTGTTAATTTTATTTACAGGTTGTTTCTCATGAATTAAGTGCAAAGCTTGTGGAAAATTTCGACAGAGATATGGTTGTTGTGGTTGAGCATCCAGGTGGACATATGATGCCCAGTATGTCTAAATATAAGATGATGATTGATAAATTCTTCGAAATAGTTAAAAGTGTTGTCAGCACTCAAAAATAAATTATTGGTACTAATATGCTACTATACTACACCGTACAAAAATACGGAATTAACGATGGACTATTCGAGGTGACAATCAGTATATGAAAGTGTATAATAATGTAGGTGTTAATATGCACTACAACCGATTTACAACTTTAAAACATGATAAAGTGCTGAGTTGAATGATTATGAAATGCTGCTCGTGATTTGAGCAACATTTTATGCTTGAAATATTCAAATGTTTCAGTGGGCTGTCGGGCATATATAGTGAAATATGTTAAAATCGTGTGGGAGATATTACATATTTGGGTTATGATGTAGATGTTGTTCTGTGATTTAATGGTGTCAGCAGTGGTGTGAAAGGATCATTGACCCTTTGGTCTATAAAACAGTTAAGATCCTCGTTTAGATGAATATTATCAAACTTTCGGGAAGTAATAAATATTTCGAGAAGGGCGTATTTTTCAAAGAGAAAAGTTAAAATTCTAAAAGACCATATGGTGCTTCATATCTTTTTGCTATTCTTTCCTCTAAATTCCTCTGTTAACTGTGGTTAGAAAGCTTTGGTACTGCATTATTAATTTTTTCAGTCTGTAAATTTCAGGTTTTATTGCCAATTCTAGTTTTAATCTTTGCTTAACATCTGAGAGCTAAAAATGTATCCAAAGCAATCTTCTTCAGCTGGTATTCCAATGTTGCAAGAATAATTGGGAACTTTACTGTAAATGTAATAGTATTTGATGGCATTTTAAAGTTCTCACAAGATATGTGGAAAGATTTCTGTAGAAGACACATTCATCCATGTTCAAAGTTAGAAGAGTTTTTAGAGCAGTTGTTATATTTCGTGATCAATAGTAGTAATAGAAGTCATAGTAGTCATATATATAATAAGCGTCAAACATTTTCTGTGATTTTCCCGACTTCTTGGCATTCTGTGATTTTGAGGCCATTCGTGGAAGATGCTGTCGATTGCGCCGTTGTCGTTGTTTGTAGTTTCTTCGATTATAACCTTTTTTAACACTTTTATTTTTCTTCATTGAAGCTGAAAATATATTAAATCATACTTTTTCTGGATATCATCTTCTGAATATTTTTTTGAGAGTGTAAGGAAGGAGTATGATAGTTAAATACTATAAACAAAATTTTTGAAACCCCACGTCTATTCTATAGAATTTATAAAAACATAAAGTGAAAGAGTTCTGCCCTATGCAAAATATTTAGGGTTGTTGTTCAATGAAGTTTTCAGTGATAGTTGTAGATGAACCAGGACAAAATGAAGACCGCCGGTTGTGAAATGGACAAATCAAGTACTTCCTACATTTACAGCCAAGTGTCACATATCATACAGAGAAGTCCTACCATGTGGCGCATCCGCATTTGTAATGCCCAAGTTGAAAGTTTCAGTAGTATTTATTTTGCTATCCATTTCCTCATCCAATTCTCCACTGCTTTCAGTGAAATCATCATTGTCGCTATTTCTGGTATCATTAAGACCAATACTGATTCCAGTAGTCAAGTTGAGAAGTATATCGGTTTCCTTCAGATTTATATTGCCGAATTTTTTGTTGTCAGAAAATTCTGTTCCTTTAATAATTTCCCAGGCAAGTACTGCTTCCTTTCTTTGTTCTTCTAGATTATTAAATTTCGGTTTATCATCATCTTTAATACTTTCCCAAGCAACTACTGCCTCCTTCTTTTGGTCCTTCGATCTCACTTCATTTCCTTCAGTTTTTTGTGGTATCAGGCATTTTCCATTTATAAATTTAAACGGTTCACAACACGGTTCTTTTCTATCCAAACACGGCTCTGGGTTACAGTGACGAAGGTGTACGATACGCGTACCATTTCTAAACGATCAAATTTTTTGAGCAGTAAATACTGATGTTATAAACAGAGTGTATGTGACATTTGTAAATCTTTCCATCGAAAATTTCGAAATTCTACCGAAAGATTAATTAAACTTAAAAGTAAATTTGCAAAATGATAGAGCATACGGTAATTTTAATGTACGGTTTTGCGTGCCACATCCACCGCATGAATCCGAACATTTGCTCCATTCACTCCAATCTTCTGAAATTGGTATCATCTGAAGCAATAAACACTTGAATAAAACGATTTTTCTTTTTTATTTATTTTGAAATTGCTCTTTAGTATCGGTACTTGGAGAATTTCGAATTTCAAAACATTTTAAAATGAGGTAAACAAAAGTTATCTCAAATTGAGAAATTTCCATCCGTAATTAAAAAGTTTAACTTACGGTTTGATAAATCAGTTAATGATTCGTTTGTGACAGAATAAGTTTCATTCTTCTAAAACAGAATAATTCTTTTAAGCATTTCATTTGCATATTCATTCATTTTAACTTACTTTTACAGCAGCAATATGAAAAGTTGTCCCTCCGTATGATTGCATATTTTAGAACAAATTTAGGACAGGAAAATAGCAGTTTTATCTTCTCTAACGCGTAGCTTATTTAATTGGCAAGATGAATTACATCATTAACTAAATAGAAATACATATTAATTAAGAAAATATATTTCTTGTTTGAATTTAAAATTTAAAGAACAAAATTATTACTTGAAGTAACGAAGTAACTTGTATCAAAAGAAATGACAAGGCAGAAAGCCAGATGAATAACATCAGGAAGATAATGACTTGACTCTATCACGAGTGTGATCGGTTGTTATATGATAAGATTCACAGAACGGTCATCATTAATAACCTTGAACCTATTCTATTTTAAGACATCTTCAACGGATTATCACTGGTTCACCACGTTTCTCAGAGATTTGTTGAAACGATTAACTACTTTTTACGTTATGAAAATTGGACAGGCTTTTGTGTCCATTGTTTTGGTCATTTCTCTTTCGTCATTAACTGATCATGCAATCTAAAAACTTAATATTAGCCAACAGCGCTTAGCTAGCTGCTTCCAATCCTGGCTCTGAACTTTATGATCTTCAAATTGCCCAAGTTTTTGTTGATGGAAAATTTTAAAAAAAAACAAAAAGCAAACAGTCATCTTTTTGTGAAAGATTCTGCGAACTGCGATAACCCAGGCATGCTATGACATGCATTTTGATGGTCATTTGAAATGACCAAATTATAAATGGAAAATGACCAATTTATGGATTATTTCAAAGAAAATTTATTTATTATGCAAATAAAATACGAATTTATGTAACAAGTTCTTTTCAACATGCAGAAAATGCCTCAAAGTTTGAGAAATTTAATAAGTTGTTCATATCTGAAGATTGAACTTATGTTTTTTCTTTGTGTTACAGGTGATCTTGCCTTATTGTTTCTAAAGGAATCATAATATTTTAAAAAAACTTTTTTGAATTGAAAAAATAATTTACTTCTGATAAGTCAGAATTGCTTACAGCTATTTACATATTTTTTTATATTTTTTCTTTACTCTTAATATCAAAAAAAAAAAAACTCAGAGTTTTAAAAGAGGATTCGAGAGTGGAAAAGATTCATAGGACCGTAATTGGAAGATTCCAATAAAAATGATATTGTACGGGAAAAAGAAAACAGTTTAAAATCTTGAGTAATTTTGACGATCAAATTTCTTGTTACAAAACAAGTGATGTAATTAGAATATACTTTTACTAGCAAAGGCTACCAGCAAAGATGACGATACCAGTGAAAATATCATCATCTCCGATACAACCAATCAGATGAACGCTTATCGAAAAAAGACGTTTACCCTATCACTTTATCACTGTTATCACCTTGTAATCAGTCCAGCTTCAGTTAGTCACTGTTGTAGATTAAAAATATAGTTTTTCGAAACTATTACACTCCTACAGGTCAAAATTTGATAACATAGAATTACTTTAGAACTATATTTGTGACGAAATGTTTCCAGACCGTAACTTCATGAATTAAATAATCATCGGAAAGAAAACTTTACTTAAATCAAACTAATACGATACGGTAGACAGATTAATATGATAAGATATATTTACCACTGGGATTGAAATTTTGTCAACAGTTGTCATCAACTCCTCTTGTCTTTTTCCAATTTCGAGAATAATGCGAGTAATAATCATCGGTTATCGTATACATATTATATGTTTTCATCGCCGTTTTCCATGACAAATGCAAATGTTCCATGGTTAAATGCAAATTTTTGGTCAATAATCCAGAAAAAAGTTCAAAATAATTACTCAGTTTTGTTTATTTTCATCCCTAGAAATACTTAAACATTTAATTTTATTTGTCCCAACTATTAGATAACTTTCACAAATGGCTTTTCCTATTAACACTCAATGATAATTAATTTAATCTTTAACAAATGATTGAATAAAAAATCATAGAACTTTCAGATTTTATGCAAAAATTTGAACAAATTTCTTAATTTTAAAAAATTTACTGAAACGGTTTTAGCGACTCTTTTTTTTTAGCAATCCAAATTTTGCAATGAATTATTTCTCATAAGAGAAATTGGCTTTTGATGCTAACAATAAATGTCATCCAGTAGAAATGACATTATTGATTTCTTCTTTTTTACTTTTATGGTATTACATTTTTTGATATGCAAATGCAAATGCAAATCTGCGACAATTAATTTTTTTTAAAATGGAACGAAAGTGAAATATAACTTTTTATTTGAGTAACCAATATTTTAATATAAATGTATCGAAAAATTTCAGCAGCTTTTCAAAAGTATCCTCAGGCGAACAAGAAATCAATAATTTGTTTGTCCCAAAACTGGTAGACTTAAAAATTCTCTTACAGTCAACAATGAGATAGACTCTTAAACATTATCCATCTTTAAAAGCTTCCATAACCTTCGAGGGAAATTTCGGAAATTTTTAAATTTCTCAAAATATTATCTAAAGTTGCTAACACAACTGGTCACGAAATAGAAATTTCAAGTTTTTGACAAAACGTTTAATCTTCAAAACAATTGAAAGTTACTATATTTTGAAATTTTAAAATTTGAAATTTAAAAAGAAGATGAGATTGAAACACAATTTATCTTATTGTCTGTGAGCAAAAAATTTTTTCCTCATTTTGTCGAATATTTCCTAACTTTAAAGCCTCAAAGTTTGAATTTAAAGGATCGAACTTCTGAAATTCTTAAAAGATTTCAACTTCTACATTCATGATTTTTCGAATCACTTCTATCCTTCCCTTCTTTTTTTTTGCTTCTCCTTGAGAAGACCAAATATGAGTATAATGAATGATATGTGAAGAATTTTCAACCAAGAATAAATAACTGAAGCAAAATGAAGAGGAGGAGGAGGAGGAGGAAGAAGAGGAGGAGGAACAGGAAAAGGAGGAATGATTGTGGTAGACAACAAAGACCATTTGATAAATGACGCAGCGGATACTTGATGGCTTATATGAAACGGTGAGACAATTGGCGAATGAAATCACCAGGGATACAAGCCCCAAAAGCTTGGTTTTGTCTATCAGGCGTTGTTGGCCATTTTCACAAACTTTTTCCTCTTGTTGTCCTTTCGAATGCTTATCTTAAGACAACATCTATGAATGTAAGAAAGTAAGCAGCACTGAGAACGAGAATAATAGCAATGAAATATTTCCAAAATATTTCACTACACTTCCATCTTTCATCTTCGAGGACCATTTATCAATCAGTTTTCTCCCCATTCTATTCTTTTTCCGGAAAACTTTACGGATATTCTTCCTAAACTGAATAATTGCTGATGGAATTGTAGGAAAGAACGTTTGCGCATTCCCTCAATATTACTATAAATAACAGTAAATATCGTCTTTTCACTTTCTTCTTTTCAGCATTTGCTAATAATAGCATTAATCTTCAAGTTTTTAACAAAAAAAAGAAGACGAACTTTGTATTTTGTTTTATTTGAGATTGTTGCTAAAAAAAAAGAATTTTCTAAAATTGCTTTCATTTATGAATCATAAATTTCATGACATCATTTGTGCTTCTCATCATTATTAATATTTCCTTATCGTTGATAATTTTACCAATTATTATCTCCTTTTGAGAAATAAAACGATGAGGAAACTTTTTTTCTTCTAAAAAATCTCATTGAAAATTTTAAGTTTTCTTTTGAATTTTGAAGTTTGCGAAATAAAACACTCTAAAAAGAGAGAAATTTATGCTTTTCAATCATATACGAACAAATTTCAATCTCCCCATCATGAATACGTTAATTTCCATTTCATTACAAATTCTGCGAAATTAAAATAATTCACGAAATTGAAATACTGAATTTTTTTTTAAAATGGTTTGTTCTGCGATGTTCATTCCATCTTCATTCATTTTAATCATGCATAATAATAATTCTTAAAAATAGCTCACTAATAGTAGTCAATGATAAGAAGATAAGTTTAATGTTTATCTTATCATTCCATTTAAAAGATAAGATTTTTGTAAATGACGATGTATTTTTGGCAGTAACAAGTTAAACTTAAAAATACAAACTTAGAAAAAACTTGAAAGCATTTATTACACTGATCCTGAAGGGCTAAAATGAGCGATGCTCTCTTATAAGCTTTTAAATTTTATTTCAAAACTAAGCATAAAAGAATATGGCCAATTTATACAATCATAAATTTCATATTAAATAAAGCTGTGATTGCATTAAATCCCAAACATATTATTTTTGAATCAAATTCATTCCATTTAAACCAGTAATTAAGCAGCGCCTTTGATTTCTTTATATCGTCAAATGTGACACATTTGAAATTTTTTTTTCTCTGCTCACTAACTTGATTATTACTGAACAAATGTAGGAGAAATCATTGAAGACAATTTAAAAAAATCATTTCCAACTCTTTTTTTTCAAAAGAAACAAACAATTGCCAAGATCAAAATCGTGGGAAATGATATTAAGTGATGGTTGGATAAACACAAAATCAAAATCACTGTTTCAATCACATTCCCACATCAATTCCTCAGAAATAAAAATTATTGTGTTTGCCAATAAGAAAATTAAATTTAAGTAATTTGTGATAAGAATATGTTTAACACTGATTCTTATTCTATGTTTATCCAAGCATTGCTTAATTTCATGTTTGAATTGAATTTTTATTATTTGATGCAAATTATGATGGCAAATTAAATTTCATCTCTCATTTAAATACTTCATTATAGATATTCTGTAATTGTGAGTTATTGCTATGCACTCTCATATCAAGTGATCGATAGTGCAATAAGTAAATTAGCCAATAGTTAAGGATTAATATCCTTATATTACTTCGAAAATTCATTCAGGATTCCATCAGAAATATCATTAATTAGGATAAATTTTATCATTAGTTAATTGTAATATTAAAATGCAGAAACATTCAACTTAATCATTCTTTCACGCCTGGACAAGCAAACTTTGTAATTCCTTCAGATTGCTTGCATTTATTGTAAAAATAATTCATTTTTTAAACTCTCATGCCTTCAAAAGTTTTATACTACAATAAAAGTAATACTATTACTATTTTTCATGATGATTTATGAGTTATGCAAATTTTCAAATACTTTAACTATTACTAACAGCGGTATTTTTTCATTCCTTTCATTTACATTTAATCTTTGCCCTGTCTACTTTATTGCCATCAATTTTTCAAATATGAACAAATCTAAAATAAATCGCATTTTATCACACTAATTTAGAGAAGCACTAGACTTAATTTCAATTGTTTCTTTTTGTAATTCGGAAATTGCAACAATGATGTGATCATATCTACCTAAAACTATTGGAAACAGATATTACTCTGTAATTTGCTTAATAAACTTTGAGATTTTCGGAAGGATCTATTATTGCTTATTAACATATAATGCAAGGATTTTATGATTTTAAGCTTCCAAATACTTTTATTCCATTAAAAAAGAAAAAAAAAGAATTGATTATGGTGAAGGAACAGACGAAGTAACTTGCGTCCTTTCATGTTGCACATCCTAGCAACACAATAATTACAAATTCAGTCTCTTTTTATTTTCTGAATGAAGGAAAAAGGCTAAATTGAGAACCTTCTACTCCTTCATCCTTTCTCTTTCCTTTTTCCTTCTCCAATCCTTTCGATTGATCTTCTGTCCATCTTTGCATCTTCTTCAATTTTGATGAATCTCATCAAAAATCAGCAATTTCAGTTGCAGGCTCTTTTTTTTACATTTCTCACTCGAAGACTAGCACTTACTTATTTATTCATTAGCATTGTCATTTTTCATGAATCATAGCTATCAAAATATTTTAATTCAAAAATCTGATGTTTAACTAAGGATCGCAACCATTTAACTTCATAATACCATCCTTGAATTTGTCAAACCTAAAATACGAAAGAAACCAAAATTTCAGATGATGTCATCTCAGGCCCATACAACAATCTCAATATTATATTTCTCTCAGCAAAATCACTTCCAACAATTTATTCTGGTACAAATTGAAGTAGGGTCAAAAGGTAAAGCAGTCAAAAGAAGTTCAATTTTGCATGGTTGAATGGTTGACCACGTAAATGACTGCGTTGTGCAGTTGCAGAATTGTCGAAAGATTTTTTTTCTGATAACCAAATGTAAGACAAATGTTTATGAAATTAAATTTCTTTTTTTAAACTTTGTTTCTATTTCCTTGCAAACATTTTAAGTATATAATTCTACCTCAAGTTGCGTCAAAACACGTAGTTTACCTAGTTTTATTTGCGTGATAATGAAAAGTTTCCGATATGCTTCAAAAAAATTTAGCTATTAATTTGATGAAATCTTTATATGTCTTAAATTTGCAGTTATGCATAAATTCATTATTGTGTTGCTATTATTGCCAAATAATAATGACATACGCAGTTGACATCGAAAGTCCCGTGGTTAGGCCTTTTTACAATTTACTGATACATAACATTTTGCTGTTTATATGAACAAATGACCAATATCAAATCAATCAATATCAATCGCTGACCATTTTGCGAGAAAATGATTAATTGTTGACCATAATCTCGCAAAAAATGGACACTGCAGTTAACAGTACTAAGTTGACACCAGAAAATGCATCGCATATTTAAATTTCTCCTTGTTCAAACAATGCTTGCTTTAATTTTGTTCTGAAAAATGAAAACTGCAATTGTTTTAGCAAAAGCCACAACCACAAACGTTGTGGAAAGCATTCCGTCATAAATTCCACTGGAAATGTTTGCTAACAACAGTGCTAGTCCATCTTTGTATCAGTTATGGCATCTGGTGTCATCTGAATCATCATATATATGTTGTTCAAACTGTTTCAAAGTAAGCTCAAATCTTACGTATTTCACGTGATATATGGGATAGTTGCACGAAGATAAATATATCTAAATATTGCCATAATTGAATCTTTAGAATTTTTTTTTAAATTTTAACGTAATTTAAAGCTTTCAAGAAAAATTATAATAACGCTAATTGTGATGGTACTTTCATGCTAATACTAGCAAGATTATATCATTCACAATTTCATAAAACTTATTTGATATCAAGAATTATTATTTAGACGAATAAATTTAGCCTACAAAATTATAGATATTCATATGGGCCATGTTCTCAGGGATATAATTTCATACCAATAGCATTTGGCATTATATTATACATTGTTTATATTATGGAGTGTTGGCATAATCGTACCAAAATTAACAAAATTAAAAAGGTAACATTTAAATTAATTCGTTTCTTACACGAAAAAACTCAATGAAAGTTTTCATATGCATCGAAAAATTGGAAGCAAAAACTCATTGCACTAATTAGTAAAATAACCAATTTAGTCGCCTTACTAACCGATGACTTGTATGTCAGTTGAAATTTTGGAAAATTCAATTTGAATTCTAATTGCAAGTAATATCAGCATGATTTCATTTGATTCGAAGACTTATCTGAAGGGAATGATTAAATTTAGGTTAATCATATTGAAGCGATGGAATACATTGAGAAAATGCGAAATGCCCTACCAATAGTGTGGTGGAGAAGTATTTGTTATCATTATGTAAGGCGAGCAAGACAAGTCACCAGGTTACTGATTTCATTGTTAAGAAGTGAACTTAATATGATTTATAAGTTATTTTGACGAGCAAGACAAATCATCAGGAAAGC